TAAATAGATGGTTGCTATGTTTCTAGTTATAGTGGTTTCTATACTATCTGTTCAGACATAAGCTCCTTTTAAAATGTGTCTAGTCAAAATTTCTCTGTATACTTTAATGAAAATAACATACTACAACAGAAGGAATATAGAAGTAGATAATTTATCTGTCTTCTACTAAGCTAGGCATTAAGCAAATTTGCAAAAATGTAAAATAACACCATTCGTCTAATATGTTTTGTGAGAAAATATATTTGTGGAAAATAGGGCTATCAAAGAAAGCATCTAAGAAAAATGTCCAAAGTGAAGAACATATTTCCAGGTTAAAATGACTTTCCAAATGCCCAGCATAACCAGTAAATGAAACAAAGGAGGAGGATAAAAGAAGACCCAAACAAGGCCACATTATGAAATTTCATCATCACATAGGTAAGCAGAAGAGCCTGAAAGATTTCAGAGGAATAAAAGCAATCATATATAAAGGAACAGAAATCAAAATGGCATCACCTTTCTCAGGAACACTGGAAGCTACAAGACAATGCAACAGTGCCTTCATTCTTAGGGAAAATAACTACCAATCTAGAACAATATTCCCAGCCAAACTATCAATTGTGAGGGTGGAAAAAAGACATTTTTAGACATCATGTTGTAGACTGTCACAGTATTGGTCCCCAGTGGATCACACCTCCCTTTAGCCATACCACTTTGTGGTATGACTTTGCTGTTCTATTTCTTCATCCCCTTGAGTCTAGGCTGGCCTTCTGACTTGTTTGGACCAATAAAACATGGCAGAAGTAACACTGTGAGCGCCACAGCAGAGGCATCTCCTCTCAGCTTCTGGGTGAGACCACTATGGAAATGAACTGTGAAGATGCCTGCACAAGTCTGTTGGTGGATAAGAGTCCACATGAAAGGATATTTAAGAGTGATACATCAAGATACAGCAACATAATGTAAAATTCTTAGAGCAGCCTATTATCTTTTATAAATTCTTTTTCTTTGGAATTGTTTATATATTCAGGGCATAAAATTTGTTATATTTTTCAAATATATCCTCTCCTTTGTGACTCACCTTTGGTTCGTGATATCTTCTATGAATTTTTAAATTTCATTTTTTAAAGGTGGTCACATCTACTTATAATTCCCTTTATTGTCTTGGATGTTTTGTTTTGTGATTAAGAAGGTTTTTTCCACCCAAAGATTTTCTTAATTCTTTTCTTTCTTAAAAAAAAAAAAACAGTACTAGCAATTGGTGAAAGATGGTGGTAGCTATCAGGAGAGAGCGAGCTACAAGTCTAAAATAGCTCTCTCTTCAGAGTGGTCTGGAGTGAGGAGCGCCAGGCAAGGAACCACTGCTTGTCTCTCTTTTCCTCACAGCCAAGCCTGAAAACACCCTCATAGAGTATATCGCAAATCTGACCACTTAGTACCCTCACTTCTGCCGGTCAGTCAAGGCCTCTATTATCTCTGACCTAAATGACCCCAGCAGCCAACTCACTGGTGTCCTGCTTCCACCCCTTGCCCTCATTTAAGTTATCCATTGCCATGAAATAAACCACTTCAAGACCAATTTATTCAATCTCACGATTTTTTGGTTTTCCTTTGCTGAGTGAGGTGTTTCCTCTATTCCTGTGATGTTACTGGGCCTATGGGCATCTGTGGCAAAATGCTGGCAAGGCAGAAAGCCCAGGTGACTCACTCAACCTAGCTGGCAGTTGGTGCTGGCACTTGTCTGGGTCCTCAACTGGGACTGTGGCTGGGGGTCTCAGTTTTCTTCCATGTGGCCCCTCTGTATAGGCTGGGTCCAAGAACTAGTGATCCAAGAGGAAGAAGTAGAAGCTGGCCATCCTCTTAAGAACTGGGCTTAGAAGTCCCAGAACAAACCCTTCCATTGCCTTCTAATGATCAAAGCAGCCATGAGGACAGCCTAGAATCAAGAGGAGTGGAGGACACATCAGGGGCCATTTTTGGAGACTAACTACCATGATTCCCCTTCAGCCAATTCTCCAGCTTCCAGAGACATTTCTTAAAAACAAAAAGACATCACTAACTTGCTGAAATCCACCTGTGGCATCATCATGCTCACTACATCTGTAACATAAAGCTGTCTTACCTGGTTGCTGCCTAACTCTTGTCTCTGATACCCCTACTCTCCCCATACTGGCCTGTTTTTCCAGTACCACTAACTCACTATCAGAGCCTTTGCACTTGCTGTTCTATCAGCCTAGAATGGTTTTCATCCAAGTCTTCACTTGATTACTTCCCTCTCCCTCTGCTTCCATCGTCTGGATAACTGATGTTATTTATTTGCTCGTTTGGGGTCTCCACTAGAATGTAGCAGGCAGTACCTTTCTCTGTCCTATTCTTTATTCACTCCTAGCACCTAGAACAGCACTGATCACAAGGATGGCATACCACAAATAACATTCTGGCTAACTGAATTTTTCCCTAAATCTCGGGCATGTACTCCTTTGAGAAATACATGACTTTGAAAATAGGAAAAACTACAGTGGTAATTAGTGGACAGATCCAGTAATATACCAGTCCTACATACCCACTGGCAAGTATTTCTACCTTCCTAATAAAAACTGACAGCTGTTTTCCTGTGTGCCCAACGGCGCAGCTGCTGCGGCAAGCCCAGCCTCTGATGGGTCTGCAACCAATATGCCCTATGCATGCGAGGAACTCAGGGAACTCTGAGGAACTCCTCAGGCACACTCTGGGCAGCAGCCAGGGGAGTGCTGCCCTCGCAGTTTTAATTCACTTTTGGTGTCAGCTGCCCCTCATTAATTCAGTGCATTTAGAGAGCTGAGAAAAATCTCTATGGCTTCTTGATGGTTCCTGAGAAGCCAGTGTAGACCAAGGTTGTCAACCAAAATGAACCTCCATTTATTGAGGAAGCAGGTTTGTGTGAAGGGCAGAATTCTTATATATGCACATCCTACATGTCAAAGATAAATCTAAGTCCAAGACAAAATTAACCAATCCAAGTTCATAAACTTGGAGCAAGAGAATCCTTTTGCTGTCACCTTTGTTTCAGCAGAGGTTCAGAGATGTCAGGGCATCTGTTTTATTGAGTAAAAAGGAAACACCAACAGTATCTTATTGGAAAAGGAGTAGGATTTGTGGAAGGAGGGAGAGACTAGCTGGTCTTCAAGTACACTTGGCCATCCTTGGTTAGGTCCAAGGAGGCTAGCAAGCAAGCAAGCATTTCAAGAGGAAGGGGTGGCGGGTTTTCTGTAGCCAGCCATTTCCTGGAACAATTGCGGGGGTCGACGGGATGCTCTGTTGTAGTCAAACTGTCACCACAGTTATTGGGGAGTGGGGAGTGAGGGATGGCTGCCTTGGCAGAAAGTTTCATAATCATCAAATTTAAAATAATTACAATTTGAGAGTTGGATCTTGAAAGTTCATCTGGTCATTTTGACCAACTGGCCATACCCCAAGTCCATTCAATGAATGGAAAAACTCAGAACAGGGTAATTTGGTTGTCTAAGCCTTAGCAAAAGGTCAGAAGCAGAATCTGAAGTTTTGCTGAGTCCTAGGGCTGTGAATGTAACCACCATGCTTCTCAAAAATAAAAAGGAAGTGAAAATACTCAGTAGCAACATAAGCCAGTTACAGCCAGGCCCACTGGTGCCCCTGCTTCTTTAGTAACAGAACCCTGATCCCATTCTGGGGCTCAGGGCTTGGCCTTCAGGGGACACCAAGCCCTTCCCCAGCTGGCAGATCTCGGGTGGTCCGATCAGTCATTTCTTCAGATTTAATTCTGGGACTGTGGCTGGGGATCTCAGTTCTCTTCCATGTGGCCTCTCTTGTGTATTTGGGGGCCATGGTTCTGCCACAGACGCCCATCCTGATCTAGAGGAACCTCTGAACCTTAAGTTCAGGGAGAACTAACAGCTTCCCTGTGTGTCTGAGTGAAGGCCAGCACTGCTGAGTGCAACAGGACATAGTAGAGGATCCCATTTAAATTAAATTTGGTAGAAAAATTTAAACAGTTGTTGCCTCTGGGGGTGGGGTAGGTAGGGACTAACTGGAAAGGGCAAAAGGGAACTTTCTTGAGATGATGGTGATATTCTGTATCTTATTAGGCTCTCAGGGTACACAGGTATAAACAATACTGAATTCTAAAGATACATGTTTAGGGGGAACTGGAGTGATTTATTCTGACATGATATGATTAAAGGATGGATTTAAAGATGATCAGCATGTGATAAACAGGTACAACACCACATTTATGGTTAGAATCAAGGTGATGGGTATATGGGTGTTCACTATAAAAATTTTTCACTTGTTGACAAATTTTTTAAAGAGAATTTGGGGAAAATGAGGTATGACTGAAATATTACTCCAGTGACTTAAAGGGATGGATTTGGAAAATCATTAAGCAAATCCTTGAACAATCTATTTAAAATCAAAGCCTCTTAACCAGGGCAGATTTGAAAGATGTCTGTGAAAGTGTGGAAGCATTTCTGGTGGTCTCTGTAACAAGAGGGGTGGGTAGTGCGGGCATATATTGGGTAGGGGCCAATCTACTGCGACCGTCCAGCCTGCCTACACGACAGAGAACTGCACACCAGATGTCACTGAGGACAACAAATTTAAAACCAAAATTTTCCCTTCATAGCTCATCCATTTTCTGGAAGCACATCTCCAACTGGGCTGTGACTTGTTTCTTGAGAGTGGTTCCATCTTCCACTACTTGGTTACCCCAGAGAACCCAGCAGAGTGCTCCACCCAGAACATGTGTTTAATAAATACTTGACGGTGGGTAAGGGGTGCTCCCTGGGGGCCCCAGCCTGACCTCCAGGTAGTTCCTGCTATGGGTGAGCATGCAAACCCACTACTGCCCCCCAGCCCGAGAGGCCAATGCAAAAGCACATTCCTGGGCAATTCTTTGGCCACGACACAGCCTCAGACACCACATCCCCACTGTCACACCTCCTACCCAAGCCCCTGCACCAAATGGCAGGGGGAGGCACCTCTAAGTAACCACCATCACACAGAGCTGAGAAAAGCCAGCATAAAGCACTTTATTGCAATAAAACTTGAAACTTATATGTAGTGCGGGTAGGTGGGGGGAGGGGCGTGGATAGGCAGCAGTAATTTCTCTCACCAGTCACTACACAGGACGGCAAAGGGGTGAGAGACGGCGAAGGAAAAGCCAGGAAACTTTGAGATCAGCAGGGGAAGCTGAGCATCAAAAAACAGGAGATGCTGAAGCTGCGATGACCAGCATCATTTTCTTAAGACAACACTCAAGGATTTGTCATGATGGCTGGGCTTTCATCGGGTGTTAAGTGTCTACAAACAGCACCTTCAATTTAAACTTTCAATTAAAGTTCTTAAAATTTAGGAAGTGGAGGTTGGATAGCTATGAGATTATAAAAGTCCTGAATATCCATTAGAAAACCACAGGATTGGGAAAAAAAAAAGCCAGGCCATGAAGGCTTTAGAGATCCCTGCTGGCCCGGGACAAATACCTGTAGTGTCCAAGTCGCAGTGAAAACAATCTGCTTTCAAAAGGCAGAGGGTTTAAGGGGAGGGTGGGGTGGGGTAGTGGAGGCAAAGGCTCTCCCTCTCCCCACTTGAGTTTTGGGTAGGGCTTTTAATTCAACCCAAGAACATCTCTCAACTTGGAGAATAATTCGGCCCTCAACAGCGCCTCAAATCTGCTATGGCTTTGCAGCGCAGCAGCAAGAATGTTTAATATATAATAGATAAAAATTTCATCCAAAAAAAAATAAAATAAAATAAAGATTCTTGCATTCCCCCTATACCAATTCCTATTCTAAAGTTAACCCATTATTTGTGCTGTTAATACTTGACTAAAACTTAATTGGAAACCTAGATCCAAAAGACTGAAACTGAATCTTTACCCCCCAACAAAAAATGAGTAACTTGAGGTTTATGGCGTATAGTTTAGGTCAACACACATACGAGGAGAAAGGGGAAGAGCAAAGCTGGGTGACAGACACATTCAGTCGGGTAGATGTTTATACAAAGAGTGTAGTGGAACATCAGGAAAAGCTCCGTATGGACTTGCGTGTGCGCATCTGGAGGCGCAGATCCCTCCATGGCACATCTGTTGGGGACAGAAGATTTGTGAGTTCTAGCAACTCTATGCTCTACGTGTGCAGTAGGGACAGCCACAAAGCTGTCTGTCACACTAAGTGCCTTCCCCAACTGCTGCTACATCGTACTTGGACCGAGCTACTTACACTCCAGCTAGGGAGAGCCAGCAAGGCTCAGGCTAGATTCCCAGGGGAGCAACCTCTTCTCTGTTTAGATGGTTCATGTCTTGTTTTTTTTTTAACACCTAAGATTAAGTTTACTTGCTGAGGACAGCAAGAGGGGCAGTCTACCCACAATGCTGACAACAGAGTCCCCATTATCAGAGGGTCTCCAACTTGGCTACACACAGGAATCACCTGGGGACTTTAAAAAATCTTAACACTTGGATCTCACTCCCATTGATTGTGTGACTGGTCCATGGCACGGCCTGGACATCAGGAGAATATTCAAAGCTTCCCAGGTGACTTTAATGTGAACAGTCCTAAGTTTGTACTCTTCACGTCGAACAGACTTAGAAAATCTCAGTTATTCAACCACTCAAACCGCTAACTTTCTGGTTCTGCACCTGGGCTTTCCTTCAACACCCATGCAAGAAGCTCTGAGATGGTCTTCGGCAGGGCATTGGGGGTGCTTAGGCCAGGGTGGTGTACAGCCCTCCATCCCTCTTTCCCTTCCTCCTCCTCCCTCTGCCCTACCAGACTTACAGAAAGCCTGCTTCCAAATCAGGGGAATGCCAAGACTCCCTCAAGTACATGTATGTTCAAAGGGCCCAGCTCTCAAAGGGGAAGAAGGAGGGTGTGGATTATGCAGAGACCTTTGGGCAGACAGAGGCTCTGTAAAGTGTCAGAGGTTCCCTTCCGGTAGGAATGACAAGTGGAGAAGCCAGAGTCATCAAACCTGACTAGGCCTTTAGGAACCAGCCGGTAAGGCTCAAACCACAGAGAGAGAAAACAGCCAATTCTTTAAGAAGCGCCACTTAAGTCCACAACAGGACAAGTTTACACTGTAACAAACAGGCTGGCAGCCACCTATTTGCAGCTTTCAACCAAAAACAATCTTTCCCAGCCCCTGGCTGTGGCCTTCTAGTTCCAGGGGCAAGAGGGGAGCAAATGCAGAGGTCTGAGGCAACTGACACGATAACAATACTCATGTGTTTTATGATTCTAATACCCACATGTAAAGCTATGTGCCAATAGGATAATGGCTTTGGTTTCCTAGAAATGAGGATAGAGGAAGAGAAAAAAGTACAGAAAGGGCTTCTGGCCCTAATTTACACTGCCAGGACGTGATCTTGAGTTAAGGCCTTCCTCTCTGGGTGTATTTCCTCACCTGCTGCACAGGAAATCTCATGCAGGTCCCCAAGATCCCTTCCTAGGACTGAGAGCATCCTTTCACCTCACCTTTTAAACCACTGTTAACAAGCTGCCTGTTGGCCTAGAGTGTCCTGGGACTGCTCTCCATGCAAAGCAGGTGGCCCCGGTGGCTAACCATCTTTCCTATCATCTAACGGCATGACCACAAACTGTGTGAGTGAGGGGGCTGCACAAACCAGGCCAGGGAAAGCAGTCACCAATGGACTTTCATCTGAACAGCAAAGATGCTGGCACTAAAAATTTGGACTGTAGTTCCAGTTCCCAACTTAGTTTTAGTTTATAAGCTACATACATAACACCTCACTTAAATAGCTACCATCAGCTGCCCCATCCCCATGAGCTGGTTTGAGAGTATATGCCATCCCTTTTGACAGGGTGAGCAACTTGCACTGAAGGGATACACTAAGACTAAAACTAAAGGAAGAATGTAAGGAATGTAAGGGGGAAGACTGGGGCGTTTTTGGTTCTCTCTGCCACCCACCAAACACTAGACACAACACAAGAGAAGCAAAGGTAACGGCCATTCACGTTCCTTACCCAAGAATGGGGAGCTGAGGGAGGAGGCCATTCCTGTCATTCCAGTTTTAAAAGCTCCACGTCAAAGACGAGGGTGGCATTTGGTGGGATGATGCCTGGGTGCCCGGTGGCACCATAGGCGTAGTCTGGGGATATAGTCAGTTTGGCTCTCTGACCGACACTCATCTGTGAAAACAAGGAACAAATCAGCTGGACACACTCCCCTACTGTCTCTGTGAGAAGCAGAGCTGTTTATCTGGTGTCCCTTGGCCAGGATGGCGTGAATAGGACATTGCAGTGACTATGCAGCTCCCCTGTGCTGGACCTGGGTGTGCAGGCAATCGGGCGGGATGATCCCAAACCTGGCTCCACAAGCCCAACAGCAGATAAAAACCCCTCTTGACTTCCAGAATGGTCAGGCCCTCAACCTTTCTGTCCAGGTCTTAGTGAGCTGACTCTGGGCAGCCAATACCCTGGAAGTGTCACACCCTGTCCTTTTGGTGCATGTCACTCAAAGGACATGTTAAGTGGCACCTACACCCTTGAAAAAGGACTACTTTGGTCAAAACTTGACTTTAAGAAAAAATACACAGAGAAAGTAATATTTGGGGGTTGCTACTTTTTTGTGCTTTCTATATTCATTTTCAGAAATATAGCAAAACTTTAAAGAAGATAGTATGATTTTCTGGGGCACAAAGCAGCATGTACAGCATTCTACCATTTGTGTGAAAATGATGAAAATATTTACATATTTGTACCTGCCTGTATAAACAGAAAACAGCTTTGGAAGGACACAATACCAATGTTTTTCTATGGGATGAATAGAGCCAGGGCCAGGGTGGAGGGAAATTTTTCAGTTTTAAAAATATATTTAAACTTTTTTCATTTTCTAGTCAAATATACAAATAAGTTGAGATCTCTCTTTTGTGAACACTGAGCAGGCTTTCTGTTGTATTTCTATCCTTCTCCCATCTCTCTTAAGTCTCCATGTGTGCATTCCTGGCTCTCTGATCCCGCCCAAGGGATGGTGACTAACGAGGAAGCTGCAGGCTATAATTAACTTTCTAATGCCAACTCAGAAACGGTGCTTCCCTACAGCTCCCTTCAGAAGCTAGGACATGCTGGACCAAGGTGGTAAGAACTGTGAAAAGCACATGGCTTCATCTAATAAAATTCAAAACTATCATTTTACCAGCATTTCCACTTCCAGGATCTTCTGCTAACAACCCAAATGTCCGTTACAAGAGGAGTGGTTTAGCATGTGCACGGTGGCTTGGCCACTAGGAAGAGTATACACATTGGCCGTAAGTGTACAGACACGGAGAGATGCCCGATACACCACTAGATGAAAAAAGCAAGCTGACCAAAAAGTACTTGTGGCAGGACGCACCCCTTAAACACATGAACCCAAACAGCAATACCAGAAGGGAAAAGGGGCCCAAGACAGCTGTCCTTCCACTCACATGCTGAAGAAATAGCCCGAGAAGGAGTTTACAGGAAGGTGCTCTGTGCAGGTCTCAGACTTCCCAGGCCTCTCACAAGCAGCAGAGCTGTGACTGATCCCAAAGCACACTGGGTTGGGGGGCGGGCTGGGCACCTCCCCAATACCCTGTCACGCCTCACCCAACACGGGACGTGAAGCAAGCTGATAACACTATCTCAGCTATGGTTCTTGGAACACACAACAGAGCCATTGTTCCAGTACTGCAACAGCCACAGAAGATGAGCTGTGGTGGAGACAATGGTTGGCACCAGACATGGGGGGGAGGCTACAAACCCAAGACTGGCCAGACATGATGGGTGGGGACAGGATGGGACCTAAAGGTACACACTGGTGAGGTTTCCAGAGTAAGTAAACCACAAAGAACTTCTCCTTGTACTGCCAGCTCTCTGCCCTGCTGGAAAGGAGCCTAGACACCTGGGAGTAGGATGGCTTAGAGTTTCTGAAAGTGGAGCAGTTTGTGTGGCGATGAATCGGTTATCTTTTATATAGGAAGGACAACAAGTGTATCTTGGAAAAGAGAAATATCTCTCCACTTGGGTTAAATCTCTAATTCTCTTTAGTGAGAGGGAAACAGACTAATGACCCATCATGTAGGGCCTAATTTAAAGCCCCTGGTGTCTCAGGCCACTGTAAACATCCTTTTACCTGGTTAATGCCAAGAAAAAAATTCCTGGGCTCAATGAAAGGACAGAATCCAACTGAAATTTGGCAACCCAGGGGTCCCCTATTGTCTACTGGGAATTTCATAGAGTTGGCAGAAAAAAAGCTGTTTAAACCAATGCAGAGGGGAGAGGAGACGAAGCAGACTCCAGACAAACGACTCTGTCCATGAGCATGACTTCTGAGGTGTTCTGACACAACATGGTCAATAATAAGACAAACACAAATTACAACTACACCACAATAACGTTTTCCATGTTTATATTGTCCTGAAACCAAAACTTTAACACACTGTGCTGGTAGGGTTGGGAGGTGACAGGCACCTTCACAGCCCACTGGGGGCATTTCAGTGCAATCTGTTTGGATGCAACTGGGCAGGATGTCAAAATACAGTGCAGACAGCCACTGAGCCACTCACTCTACTTTTGAGAACTTGCCGATGGCAATATTGGCACAGATGTAAAATAAAGTCCATACAAGATCAATCACTGCAGCGTTATTGACAATAGCAACATAACAGAAATGACTCAAATGGCCATCAACAGGGTACTGGTCAAATAAATTATAGTACACCTACCTAAGGGATACTGTACAGCTATAAGAGGGCTGCTTCCCCTTTCACATCTCAGAATATAAAGTGTTAAGGATAAGTTAAGTGAAAAAGCAAAGTGCAAAATGTGTGTGTGTGTGTGTGTGTGTGTGTGTGTGTGCGCGCGTACGCCAAAAACGAAGGAAAGGAAAGAATGGAGGAAGGAAGAAGAGAAAGAGAAGAGAAGGAAAGGAAAGGAAGAAAAGAGAAAAGGTGTGTGCTTCTGTATGTGCTTAAAGAAACTACAAGGAACAATAACAGGAGCTACTTGGTGAGGGGACTGGAAAGACAGGGTGGGATGAGGGTGAAAATGTTCACTTACACCTCTTTGACTTTGGAACCATATGAGTGTCCTACCCATAAACACAATTTAAAAGGGAGACACAAGGAACAAAACAAAAACGAGAGCATACCTGGGCAACCCCTTCTTCCCAGCCTCGGATCACCTCCTGCTTGCCTAGCATAAATTTAAAAGGCTTGTTTCTGTCCCGGGAGGAATCAAATTTCTTTCCATCTTCAAGCATCCCTGTGAAAAAGGGCAGTTGTAACATGAGCGACAAGGGGTAATGACGTGTGGCAAGTCAGAAGCCTTCAGCAGAGTGCCCGTCCCAGATGCCAGCACTGAAGGGCCTGGCAGGCTGTTCTAGGCCTGAGGAACTGCGGTATCTAGGGAGGATTTCCCGTGTTCTCTATAGGCTTCTGAGGAGTTGGGGCAGCCCCCACCCTGAGGTTGTGAATGGTCCCCGACCCCAAGAAGTAGGCTGGCCACCAGAGGCAGACAGCAGTCCACTCCGGTCTGCAGAAAGGGGAAGTGTACATACTCTGGCGTGCCCAGCACCCTGTGCATTTCCTCCCAGAGTGAGAATAACCATGGGCCCTTTAGGCACACACAACAAAGCCATATACAGTGCAAGAACCAATACTGCTTCTTCAATTCACCCGTCAACTTTTATAGAAACATGGGTAATGTCAGAACTGAACTGAACTGGAGCACACCAGTTGGTTTTGGAGAATCAGAGAATCAGAGAATCGGAGAAGTGGTGCTGGAAAAGACACCAAAAGCCTCTGATCAGTGAACTGCTGACAATGCAAGCTAAACTGTGGACAGTGCTTCCGCTGAGTCAGGTGCAGGGCAAGGCACTTTCCATACATGAACTTATTCAGTCCTTCCCCAGGCTTGTCCCCATTTCAGATGAAGGAAACAGAGGCAGAGAGAAGTGATGTGACTTGCTGAAGGAGTAGGGCGAGGCTATAAATTCCAAAAACCATGTTCATTCTACTCTTCCAGTTTCCCAGAAGCCAGACACAGCAGTGGCAGCCTCCGTGAAGAAGGGGTGTTCCAAAGATGGCTATGTCAGAGGGTGAGTGCCGCGACAGAAGAGGAACTGCAACTCCTAGTTCAAAAAAGACCATCAGCACTGCTTTCTCAGGAAGAGAAATGTGTCAGTGTTGGCCAACTGTGACAGCTGTCACTGAGGTCCGTCCTGAAAACTCTCAAGCCAGGATCCTGGACAGGAAATGGCAAGTGCGTTGTGACAGGAGATTAACACAAAGCTGACTTCACTGGAGGCAGAGGGGGGCACCTACCACAGTTCCAAGCATCACTCAGAAGGCCCAGGGAAACAGAATTCTGTTGTGTTTGTGTTTTTAGAGAAGGGAAATCCCAACAAAATTGCAACCTAAAAAACAATGTCAACACTTGCAAGTGGGATGGGGAAGCAGAGCCTGAGAGCTTTATCACAGTCACCAGATACCTCTACTCTGATGAACTAGGAAATGGGGCGTGAGGGTTGGGAACTGCTGTCCTAACAGAGCAGAAGGGGAGACAGATGTCCTGGGCAGAGGGGTGCTGACACTACCTGGAGCTGAGGGAGGAGACAGGAAGATGGGGAGCCACTACTGCCAAGTCAGTGCAGAGCCAGGAAATGGCACCCCAGAACTAGAAAGCTGGGGTGTACATGTGGCTCACCTCTTTACCAGAATACAATCACACCTGATAAGTGACAAATGACAGGACATGAACAGTTTCCTATAAATGAGTATTGGGGACAAGAACCAGTCTCCACCCTCTACAATCCTCGCTGAAGACATTCATTTCAGCCCATCTTGAGCTCTACTTCACACACTGAACCCAGCTGGACTCAGTGTTAAGGGTAAGAAAGGGGCAACCAGCAGCCAGGCAGGGGGGGGCCTTTTCGTCCATCCACAAGAGACTGCTTGTCACAGAAACAAGGGAACCAACCCCAAGGCTCAGTAATTGGCCCAAATGAGAAGTATGCCTCTGGGTCTAGTAAAAGGCTTTATTTAGCCCAAGGGGACTGTGAACCTCAAAGGAGACTAAAGACCAGAAATAGCCTCTTCTAGTTTACACTCCTTAGAGAATACCTTAAGCAGAGCCCTGGGGCTTCCTGGGCGGCCA